ACATTGCTCAGTGGACAGACATCTCTGCAAGTATGCACAAGTGAATTGGAGATGTATGCTGCTATGCTGAGCCATGTGAATACAGGCCCAACAGAAGCTGAGGCACCATACCTTGAGATTTAAATGGAATTGGCTCAAACTCGGCCTACATACAGTGGGACTAGCACAATGTTTCTTCCTATCCCTCTGGGAATTCTGAGATTATGATTTATGCTTTCCCAGGTCACTTCTGGTGCCAAGCTTCTTTCCTGCTAAATTACTTCATCTGTGGATTGCCCTACTGTCCAGCATGCCTTCCCTGGCTGTACCACATTGCTATAGAGAGGGAAAAGAGATCACTTCCTTGATATCCCTCACAAAACACCACTGGTACAAAGCTTTTGTGTACATAGTAGAATCTTACTAAAGGTTAGGAACAATAGAGTGACATTATGTTACCGAGTCACAGACCAAAGATTCACAAATCTTCTACCTCTTAACCCTCTTCCTAAAAGTGCTTTGACTGACTTCATTTATCACCAATTTCAGTCAAGGTTCTTTGTTACAAACAACAGCCACAGAAATTTTGGCTGATTTAAGCAGGAAAGGAATCTCATAGAGGACTGAAGAACCAGGTTGGAAGTCTGTGTCTCCAGAAATGACATGCAAAATCATGCTGCGGAATTGGTCCAGTGAAGACGCTTCACTGTCCCTGCTGGGCAGTGAATTGCATGGCAGCTTGCACAACTGACAAGAGTAGACAGTGCAGCTCTAACTAATGCCATGGCTGCTGCTGCTGTTGCCACCCTTCTCCAGAATGTATTCTCTATAGTCCCTGCTTTGTGACATCATTAGTCCCCTATCCAAAATTTAAGGCAGGTGCATTTCGTTGCTGTGGTGTAGGTCACGTGCCCAAGTCTAGCTGCAAGAGAGGCTGGGAAAGCAGACTTTTTCCAAATCCATCCATGCAAGTTGTTTATTGCAATGTTCTCTATGCCAGTGCTTCCGGAACTTTCATGTGTTTGTGAACCATCTGGAGATCATGTTGAAATGCAGCGTCTGATTCAGTAAATCTAAGATAGGGTCTGAGATTCCATGGCACCCGGTTGTTGCAAAGCTGCTGGTCTGAGGACCACAATTTGAGTAGCAAAGCTCTATAGCGAAGATTGTCAAATGTTAGTTGCATATTGAAATAACTTGAGAAACACTTTAAAAAAAAAAAAACTGATGTCTGGGTCTGACCCCCAGCTGATTTAATTGGTCTGGGTAAGGCCTGGGAATATAAACCCCTAAAGGCTTCAGATGATTACAATGTACTCAGATTGCATCTTTCACTTTAGGCTTCAACTTCTTGTCACTTTTCAAGGTGAGTTCTTTTTTTTCAAATTGCAAAATGTCCATTTTTCCAGCCTTGCTTGATTTCCCTTTCAAATTCAATTACTCTCACTTATTATGCAGAACAATTTGACACTCCACCCCTTAGTTCCTTGGACCTAATTTTACACATCCAAAGATTAAAAGAATTCTCCCAGTCTAGCCCTTTCCAAAAGTATGTAACCTGTTGCTCTGGAAGAGTGTGATCTGAAGTGATCCTTGGGTGGTGTTTTTAAATTTTAATAGTTATTTATTTTGATCTGAATTGTTTTAAAAAAAAGTAACTAACACAATGAATGTGATTTCATAAATACTACTGCTTAGGACAATAAGTCATTTTTTAAAAATTAGATAAATAATGATATAGAGATTCAGAGCAGATACAACAAAAATCTTGAAAATGGTGTGTAAATGAATGAAGTTTGAGGGTGCTTATACGAATTATAAGGCTTCTGTTAAAAATCCCAGGCTTTAGGAATATAAAAAAACTGGCAGAGAAATTAATATCAGCCTTTTTTCCTCTTCTTTCCCTTCCAGTCCTTGCAAGATAAGGAAACAATATAGAGATCTATTTCTGAATTTATATGAATTATGCTACCAATCTTAATACACAAAAATGGCTACTGATTTCAATAATGGCTACTGATCTTAAATACCAATTTTTTTTCTATTATGTGAAGATTTCATAAAGTTTCAAAGTAATACCACCAACATTTGAAAAAGTCATAACCTAATCAAAAATAACTATAAGAATTGAAAACTGTGAGAATTAAAAATAGGTTAAATTCTTTAACCAGTTAATCTTTGACAAGAAAGGTGAAAAAAATTATAAGATTTTATTATTTATTTTATTATTTTTTATTTGAGAGAGAGAAGGTGTATGTGAAAGAGAGCACATCAGGGGCTGGGGAGAGGGAGAAGCAGAAGCAGATTCCCCACCAAGCAGGGGGCCTGATGTGGGGCTCTACCCCAGGACCCTGGGATCATGACCTGAACCAAAGGCAGAAGCTTAACTGACTGAGCCACCCAGCTGCCCCCAAGTGAAATTTTTTTAGAATTGTTGAAAGTTCATCCACAAACCCACAAAGCCAAAAAACTCCTAAGCAGAAGAAAATTTTCAAACTGCCCCAGTGACATCATTGTGAACTTTTTAGAACACCAAAGCAAAATAGATCTTAGCCAGTATTATATTAACAGATTTCGCAGTAGCAAAAAAACTAGAAGATGATAAAATAACAGGTTCAATATTCTGAGAAAAAAAGACAACTGTAAACCTAGAATTATATATCTAGTAGAATTATCTTCAATGATCAAGAGCAAAATAAAAGTATTTTAGGTGGGGGAAAATCTGAGCACATCACATTGTCATTAAAGGAAATTCTATAGAATTTACTTTAGGCCCAAGGAAAAGCATCCAGAAAGATCTGAGATATACAAAGAAATGGTAAACAAAATAGTTTTACAAATATTGGTGGCTCTAAAAAATATGATGTCTAATTTATAGAAGGAAAAGAATAATAATAGTTTATAAATTTAGAGGGGTGGTACAGAGTTAAAACATCTTAAGAGCTTTGAATTATTTGAAGTGAGTAAAGACATTTATTAGTTTTAGACTTGAAGTTTACATGCTAAAATAGTAGAATCACCTTAAAATATACAGAGTGTATTGCTCCAAGTGAATAGTGTGTTAATATTTTTCATTTTGAGGGTATCTCAAAGGGTCCTTTCTTATGAGTATTCTGTTGAGCGTTTTGTGGAACTATCCATCCAGGTTGGCTTTATGTTTGTCTCTGGAAGGCATTCCAGACCCCATGTCCGAGATCTTTTCGGGGAAGAGGAAAGGGTTGGGGAATCAATTTCTAAGTTTTGAGATTCTAACAACATGTAAGTGCTAAAAATTAAACTCCAAACTCTTATGAAATGCAGGCAATGGGTTTCAAAATTTCATCAGAGTTAAATAATTTTTTTTTTCATCCAGAAATGGAACAAGCTTCCCCATCTGGTTATCTACTGGGTGTTTTATATTTTCCCTAACCTATCCTTTTCCTGAGGATTATGTCTTTCAGGGACAATGGCTTTCTGTAGTGTACTCCCTTCCTGCTCCCACCTTGAACTACTTCAAACCCTTATCTTCTGCCCATATACTTCCAGACCTCTAGAGACTAACAACATCCTGCCCACATTGAGGATGGCCAACTAAATGGTAATCCTAAATGGTTTGCCTGGGACCTGGTTCTCTGGGTTTGGGGTTTTTTCCAGGGCAAAAACCAAGAAAGTCCAAGGCAAACTAGTTTTGTTGGTCATTTTACACCCCAGTCCCCATACCTAGGACTAGAGAATAATCAGTGTAAGAAGTAACTACTACCATATGCAGTTTCAATTTCTGGCATCTTCATATTTCTCTTCATTTCTTATGGGTTTGGCTAAATATTTAAAATAAGGGTAGTTATTATTTTATCCAGTAACGCTAGGTATTGGTAGTGAGAAAGTTTTCAGGTTACAGAAGTTCACCACTATTCCAGCTCACCAAGTGACATTTTTATGCTTTTCATCAGTACAAAATAAAGTTTGAAGATTAAAGTCATAGCTGGTTATCCCGTGAGTAAAGAATGCTGGCGTGGTTCCCAAACGTGTGTTATTTGCTCCACCAACTGCCCTACAGCTCACCCTTGCTCTAGGCCTTGTTTCTCAGACCCTGAGAATGTTCTAGAATTCTCTAAGCAGGCCTAGTTTCTTCCTGTAAGGCCTAGAAAATAAACTTTCGCCCTTACAATTTAAAACTCCCTGAGGTTAGAAATGTTCGCCTGTTTTCTTGAATTCTGTATCTGTGGTACTTGGCTGTAGTCACTCAATACCATCAAAACATTTCTTGGAACTGGTGAACGCCCTGAACACCAACCAAATTGGCCTGCCCTGTTTTTCAATCGAACTCCATCTACTTCAAACTTGGCAGAAAAACGCCCAAGTTTGTGGACTTTTGGGGTCTCCTTCCATGTTTTTATAAGCTTGGTTCTATTTTCTCTTTCTGTAGGCATTTAACTGATTTTTGGGGGCGATGATATGGTAATCAAGATCGGGCTAATCCTACGCGTTCAGGGCGCCATTTTGAAATTAGAGCCTAGACGCATTAAAATTTTTTTTATTTTAACATATATTTAAAGATGCATATTCATTTCAAGTGCACCTCAAAGGCATTTTCAGGGTGACACCTGTGTCGGGGGGCAGGGGCAAGGGAAGGTCTGTCAGTCTGTCTCACGTCAGTACTTCCCCGGTTGCGGAGAGCCGGCCCGCGCGCACCCCCTGCACACCCCCGATCAGAGAGTCGGCATCCCCCCTAAACCCCCCCGCAGGGGGGCGGGGGGCTGCCACCCATTGGCTGAGGCGTCTACCACGAGCCCCCGTACCCGGCGCAGGAGCCACCTCCGGGAGCCCCGCAGGCCACGCCTCAGTTCGCCAGCGCCCCTCAGCCTCGCCACTCTGCTCTTAGGGCTCCTCAGCCTCACTGCTCGCCTTTGATTTTCCTCAGTCCTCTTTTATCCCTTTGCCCAGTCGAAGTCGGGCAGTGCCACGAGAAGACCCCACAGCAGCCCCAAGAGTGGTGCCAGAAGCGCAGCCTCCGCTCCTCCTCGAGCCTCACCAGAGGGAACTGCTAGCTGCCGCCATCATGGTGAGCTGAGGAGAAGGCCTAAAGGGCCCATGCCGGGTTGGGTCCTCCCGGGTGGTGGAAACTCGGCTTTTCTAGCGCAGTGCCGGAGAGTGGCTGAAAGCGGGGTCACCCCTTTCCCTTCCTGGGTGCACTACGGACAAGGCCTGAGAGAGGAGGTCGAGGCAGCCCAGAGGGGTGGAGGAGGGGCGGCATGCCCGCGGGTGTCGCAGTGGGGGGAGGCCCTGAGGGCTCGCTGTCCCACCCGCTGCCTGCTGACCACGTGCGGGGTCGCGGCCTTCACGCCGCCCCGCCTGCCTCCCGCCCTGGCGGGCTGGGTTGTGAGGGGGGCCCTTGGAGTGGGCCTCCGGGACTCAGCCGGGGGAGGGGGGCACCGCGCGCCTGCCCCACCCCCACCCCGCAGGCCTCCCTTCCCGCGCTTACCCTGTGGGGAGGAGGCAGCGCGTCGGCCGCGAGATGGCGTCGGGCTGCCGCCTACCGAACGCCAGCTGGCACCGACTCTCTGAGGGAGTCGCCTTTTGACTTGGAGGGCCGGAGTTTCCTCGGCTTAGGGTTCCTTCCTGGTGGGTGGGTAGGGTGGGGTGGGGTGGGTGGGCGTGTTGGGAGCGGTGTGCTCCTGCGGGAATCGGGCGGCTGACGGGACTGGAGAGCCTCCGTGGCGACCCCTTGTTCCTGACTTGGCGCTGGGGCCTCCCTCGTGCGGCAACCAGGGATGGCAAACTCGCCGACGCCATCATCTGCGCACGAGGTCGGGCCCGCCTGTGCTCCTCCCGGACCGCGGCCCTGAGCAGTTGACAAGTTTTGTGCTTAGGAGGGACCCTTTTTCTCCGGATAAACCGAGAATTTCGACATAACGTACCTACGGTAGTACTTCCTCTTTGGGGTGTACGTTTATGTTGAGTTTGGGTAAATGTAGAGTTGCTTCACCACAAGATGCTACACTTTTAACCAACCTTACCTCACAGATGTATTATATACTGTGTGGATTTATAGTATGATCGTTAGTCTCCAATTTTCGAGCTAAAGGGAGGAAATTTATGTAGTTTATATTCCTATATAGAAGTACTAAAATGAAAATGTATAATTATACGTATTATTCTGTAGTGATTATTTGTGTTACGTCATTATCCATGTTACTAATTACTTAATAACCACTTTGTTACTATAAAAAAAATTCCAGTATTTTTTTCACTATATTTTTAGAGGGAAAGGGGGAGATGCTAATAGCTGGGTTTTTTTTCCGGATTATAACAGTAGCATGTTAACTCATTTGAAAGTAATCAGTGTAAGAAAATATTGTCCCAACACCTCTAACCACTAGTCAAGTTTTGCTGTATGAATGCCCTTCCAGATTGTTTTTATGCATGTATTGCATTTAGAGAGGTGAACTTTAATTTATAGAATTTGGACCATGTCACATAATACTTTTATTTTATATCCTCTATCCTTCACCTAATATAGTGGACCTTATTTCAAAGATAAAATGATTTTAAATATGTAATGTTAAGACTATAAGATTATATCATTTATTTTTATCAAATTCCCTTATAATGAATACTTTTTTTGTTTAAAAAACAATACTGTAGTAAGTATATTTGTGCAAATGTTTTGGCATGCCTATTCCATTAGTTCCTTGAAATTAATTGCCAGGAGGGGAAACAACTGGGTGAAAGGCTGATGCCCATTTTAAAACAATTTTAAATTATAGTATATCCTTCCAAGTTACTCTTAATGGAACCAGGTCCCACTGTGTATTCCCACTGTATGTAGAGTGATCTCTTCTCCACACTCTTTCCAATGAGAATTGTTATAGTTTTTGAATTGCCAAACTAATAGCTGGAAAATATGTTTTAATGTGTTTTTTTTCTTTTTGATCATTAAGTTGAAGTCATTAGTTTTCAAAATTTCTTTCTCATAAATTTTTAACTCACCTTTCTATTTGGATGTTTATCTTTTTTAAAGGATTTTTAAGAACTCTTATTAATTCTTTGTAATTTACAGTGGTGGTACAGAGTTGCCTTTATTTCCTAATTATAGTGGAAGTGGCGGATTCATTTTAAGCCCCATGTTAGCTTAAAACTACATCAACAGAAGATTCTTCCCTTTTATTTAGGTTTTTAAAAATTAAAAAATGAAAAAAAATTTAAAAATGAATGTTGTAGTTTTTAAAATGCTTTTTCATTGGTGAGTTACAGTAGTAGCTTTCCTAAGAATGAACCATCCTTGAATTTTCAATATTAGAGATTGAGGTGGACCATTTTAATAAGGCTTTGTTATTGAGGTGTTAGTTTTGTAAAATGGTTTGAGTAATTCTCTTTTCCTATCTTTTCTCTGGAATTTTTTTTCAGTTAAAGTGACTGATATTTTTTAAAGTTTGTTTATTTAAGTGATCTCTGTACCCAAGGAGCTGAAACTCACAACCCTGAGATCAAAGGTCAGACACTCTACCAACTAGGCACCCTTGAATTTTCTTTCTCCTACCCTCTGTCATCTGTCTACCATTGTTTCTGTCTTGGTGCCCTGCACATGCACAAATAATCAGTTTCTTTACAGTTTGAAAAAACTCCCAGTGAAACTGAGCCTAAGAATCAAGTATTCTTTCCTTTCTTTAGATTGTTTTTTAAAATTGACATTTTTCTAGAAAGTTGACTATTTCATCAAGATTTCCAAATTTACTTCCAGAGAGTTTTTACATAGCATTACCTTACAATCTGTGGTCATAGCACCTTTTTCAAGAAAAATGTATATTTATGCTTTCTATTTTGATTTATTGTTTGGATTTCTCCCCCTAAGAGTCCACTCTTGGATTTACTTAGGAGGTCTAATTCTGATTTTCATTTCCTATTTCCTTTTAGCTTTTCTCTTTATTAGCTGCTACTTTTATGGGTAGAATTTTGATGACTACAAATTAGACCTTTTTTGTAGTCAGTTTTAGATTTCAGTTTGCTTGCATGTAGATATAATAGTTGAATGAAATAATATTAGTTGACAGCCCAGGAGCTTTAGTAATGATACAGCTTTTTTCTGGCTTTTAGTTAATTTTGTCATTTTGTTATCCAAGTAGAACAGTGAATGTATTACTATAAATAGCAGTGATGAGTATTGTGTATATGATGGCCTCCAAGTTCCACCCTATTTAATATCCTAGCATTACTCATCTCAAAACCCACCAACTCACTTGAAGGTATAATTAAGAAAAATAATTACTTATTATGTTAAATCTGCTTTAAATTTACTTTCTGTATACTATTGATGGTTAAGGTGAATACTTTTAACATCAAACTTTTGCTTTAGCCTAAGCATTTATTTGTGGAGTGTTTTTAGCAATAGTTTAAAAGTATTAAAAGTTGTTTATTGGTTGTGGATGTTGCATATATAAATTGTATATTAATCATATGTATAAATTATAATTATGTGTAAATATACACAGAGTAAAAGTTTAAAAATCCCTTAAAAATCAGTCTTGGTAAAAATGGAATACTTTGCTTACTTTGTTAGCTTTGAGCGCTCCCTGCTGGCTGAGGACTAAGACAGGCTAGTGCCTTAAGATGTTAAGACACTAGTAAAATGATTTGATGAATATTACATTTAATTTCTCAATTAACCAAACTGAATTTGAATAAAGCAATCCCAAACCAAACTTCCTATAATATGCAATGGACTTCCCCCCAAAATTATTGTTTAGTGTCTCAAATATCCATTTTACTTCTATAAATAGAATATGAGAATCAGAACTTTGCTTTTCAATTCCGTACACACTATCACAGTTTCTCAGTCATGACTCTGTTCACATTTTGGGACAGGTAATCTCTTGCTGTGGGAAGCTGCTTTTGCATTATAGGATGTTTACTGTATTCTTGGCCTCTACCACCAGATATAAGGAGTACCCCTTAGCTGTAACAATCAAAAATGTCCCTGGACCACAAAATCTCCCCTAGTTGAGAAATAATACATTATCATAACTGTATATAATCTGGCACAGATTTCTGGCCTGATACTATATACCTCCAAATTAAAATACATTAATCCATTGTCGTTCGTGGATAGATAATACTAAACAGTTTGTCAAATAGAAAGCTATCCAAAGTTCATCCACAGATGAAGGGGAGATTGAGGAGAAAAGAAAGTCTATAAGAATTTCAGAACCACTGTTTTATTTGTTTTGACTTCCGAAGGAGCTAACTGAAAAGGATTGGTAAGTTGTTTATAGTGAAGGGAAATCTAGTTAAGTTTCAATGGTTTAAGATATGTGGCTTATGTAATACAGTCCCACGTAGAAAAAACTAAAAACAAAAAATGAGAAAAGTTTAGCAACAGGTTTTTATACTACTACATTGTCATGAAATATTACTATACTAGAGTTACAGGAAAGAATTAGGAAGTACCCAAATAGAAACACATAAAAGTAAGTACAGTTGACTTTTTTTTAAAAAGATTTTTATTTATTTGACAGACAGAGATCACAAGTAGGCAGAGAGGCAGGCAGAGACAGAGGAGGAAGAGGAAGCAGGCTCCCTGCTGAGCAGAGAGCTCAATGCAGGGCTTGATCCCAGGACCCTGGGATCATGACCTGAGTCAAAGGCAGAGGCTTTAACCCACTGAGCCACCTATGTGCCCCTACAGTTGACTCTTGAATAATACAGGGATTAGGAATGCTGACTCACCCTCCCTCCACACAAACTCAAAAGTTGGCATGTAAATTTTGACTCCCCCAAAACTTAATTACTAGTAGCCTACTGTTGATTGGAAGCCTTACTGATAACACAAACCATTGATAAACACAATTTGTATGTTATATGGATTATATACTATATTTTTACAATAAAATAAGCTAGAGAAAAAATATTTAGAAAATTATAAGGAAGAGAAAAATGGATTTACAGTACTGTACTGTTTTAGTTTTTTTTAAATCTGTGAATAAATGACCTGGACAGTTCAAATCCATGTTTTCAAGGGTTAATTGTATGTGCACAGATTAATAGAGAAAAACCCAAACACATTTGGTGATGGGACAGTTCGGATTTCATCTCTAAATAGTATAACAATTTGTAGAATCTTAAATTTATCAGAAACTTCAAAAATCTAACAAAATAAGAATTCTAATTCAAAAAAATACTCTAGTATTGTTACTAATTTCTGTAAAAATCACTGTGCTCCTCTTTTAAAAAATATGTATCCATTGTTTTTTTTTTACCCTGTTTTTCTCCATAAGAGGAAATAGAATAGGTTTCTCTCTTTTGTAGTCTTTTGTATTTCCCTCTTAAAATCAATAGGCACTTCATAAATGAACTTCAAATAAGTGGATATACCATAAACTAGTTCCTTGAAGTTCCAGTTGAAAGTAGTTGTTAATTAATAAAACATCACAAAATAAGTAAATAGTAAAACTAGGAAAGAAAGTTTTTATCCTCTTGAAAATAAATTCAAATAACAGGACACTAACTTATATTGGCATACCACATTATACTTTACAAAATGGATTTGCAGATGTTGTCTTACTTCATTCTCGAAGCAGTTTTCCCAGATATAAACAGCTGCCAAATAAGTGGCTTCTAACTTAGTAAGGCAAATGAATCTTGATCCCCTGACTAAATCCATTTTTCTTTCACTATGTTATACTACTTTTCCAATATATATATTACCAGTAAATTTTGCTTCAGAAAAATTTATATTAATATTAGTATGGAAAGACTAAAGATAGAGGTCTGAATTAGAATCCAGAAAAATAATGAGTTTCATGTGTGGGTCTCTTCAACTGAAAATAAAGATAATATCATTTTTTCTATTAGCCCACTGTGAAAATTAGAATTATCAGTGGGACTTACTTAGTGTTATTGAAGAAGAAAAATGTTATTTCAAAAGATGCTTTGAAAACCCTAATACTAGAGGAAAAGATTGTAAGCCTTTTTCAGCAGGAGCTATGATATGTGAGCAAATAATGTTTTCATTTCTAAAGTAAATGCATACTAACACATGGTGTAGTTAATTATAAAATCCATGTTGATTTTGGTGACTAGAAAGAGGAGGGAAAACAAATCAGTTTAAATCTTTGATGTGTACTTTTGATATAGATTTTTGAAAAGTTCATTTATATTTTTCAAAGATTTCCCGTGTTTTTTAATAAGGCACTTAATAAAGGGAAAGTTTATTTACTGGCATACAACAGGATGACTTTAAGAGCTATTTTTACAAATCTGAACTTTCCAGTTCACAAACTCAGTATAAAGTCAGTATTCTACTCTATGTAAGAGATGATGAGCAACACTGGTTTTAAAAGGGTCCTATATTCTTTTGTTAAAATTTCATGCTGATTTAGTTTAGTTTACTTCAGTTTAGTTTTAGAGAGGGGTGGGCTTCCGGAGAAGGCGAGGGAGAGAGAATCTTAAGCAGACTTCACACCCAGCAAGGAGCCGACATGGGGTTGGAGGATCTCATGACTGTGAGATCATGACTTTGACTGATTAAGCAACACAGGTACCCCTAGTCTGATTATTTTTAATCCTAAACCTAAACTGAGCTGTATTGCTGGCCAATTTACTGTGAAAGTAATTTTTATGAAAATATTTTGTATTTTAAATACAAAGATTTTATTTCATATATATGGTTTTTGCCTGAATGTCTAGTGATGAGATCTACTTTCCAAATTACAGTCTGCTGCAAATCCTGAGACTCCAAACTCAACCATCTCCAGAGAGGCCAGCACTCAGTCCTCATCAGCTACAACCAGCCAAGGCTATGTTTTACCAGAAGGCAAAATCATGCCAAACACCGTTTTTGTTGGTGGAATTGATGTTAGGGTATTGTATATTTCATTTATTTAAAAAAATATTTAGTGAATAAGGAGGTTGGGGCCCTGTTGTAAACATAAGGTTTTTTGGAATTTCATTCAGGTTTGGAATTGGGTTTATGTTTAACGTATAGGACTAAAACTATCATTGACAAAGATCTACAGGTGGTTTGGGGATACTTGGGGGAGATATTTCCACATCTTCAAATCTTCTTTATAGTATACTTAAAAACTTTGAATGTTGAGTTTTTACTCTTGAAGTCAAATTCTTCTCTATAGATGGATGAAACCGAAATTAGAAGTTTCTTTGCTAGATATGGTTCAGTAAAAGAAGTGAAGATAATCACGGATCGAACTGGTGTGTCCAAAGGGTAAGTACGTGTTCAGTGTGAAAATAAAAAATAACTAACCTAGAAAAATTCAAAATTTGTGTTCTTACACTTGTATAAATCTGTTGCTTTGTTCCTTTCTTTTATATAGAGGGTAAGTTTGTTGTCAGCTCTTCTACTTGTCATTTTCACAGTGTTTATATGTAAATATTTTCCATTATTTATTTTATTTAAGTGGATTAATCAGTTTTATCCAAGAGTTATTTTCTTTTCTCTCTCTCTTTTTTTTTAAAGATTTTTATTTATTTATTTGACAGAGATCACAAGTAGGCAGAGAGGCAGGCAGAAGAGAAAGGAGGAAGCAGGCTCCTGCTGAGCAAAGAGCCCAATGCAGGGCTCGATCCCAGGACCCTGGGATCATGACCTCAGCCAAAGGCAGAGGCTTTAACCCACTGAGCCACCCAAGTGCCCCACAAAGAGTTATTTTCTTCATGTATTAAGCAGTATTTTAAATTTTAACCATCTTGCCTTAGATAATAAATTCAGGTTCATAGATAGGAATTTTCTGTTAACAAATGATGTTCTACACTACATTAATCTTTACACATTCTGACATAGATCGGGGAAGAAAACAAAAAACAGTAATATTAATAGAGGATCAATCATGTACATCTAACGTATTTATCTCAGTACATTCTTCATTTTTTATTATCATTTCTTTCAATCATTTCATGGAATATTAGAAGTTTTGTACTATTATGCTGGTGATTTTTACACATTATTTATCTGTGTTTTTAGCTATGGATTTGTTTCATTTTATAATGATGTGGATGTGCAGAAGATAGTAGAAGTAAGTAATCTTATGGCAAAATCTCTTAATTAGCTTAAGGATGCAATGCTTAGTGTTGTTTGAGTCCTGAATATATATAGCCTTGTATAAAATACAGAAATAACTTCCTGTTTGAAATCCAAACCTCGAGTAATCTTATGTAACTCATCAGACCTGTTTATTTGTAATTGGACATCTGGCTTCATGAACTAGAGACAGGAAAGGTTTCAGACAGAGTGTAAAATTTTTTAATCCAAAACTCTTTTCAACACTTGAGTGGTGAGATGTTAAGGTAGCTTCATGCCGATAAATTTTGATTGAGTATGTTGTTACTATTGATCTTCTCTGAGGGTATAGATTTTAGAAGACCTGGGGTGTTTACCAAAGTCTCGAAAGTAGACTTTGAAAATTGATTTTAGTTTCGTTGTTTATTTTCAGTCACAGATAAATTTCCATGGTAAAAAGCTGAAACTGGGACCTGCAATCAGGAAACAAAATTTATGTAAGTAAAGAGGAGAGTTATTCTTTTTGACATGTATAACTTCAGAAAACTAAAAGTGGACTTTATTTTCATTTTATTCTTTAAAAAGGTGCTTATCATGTGCAGCCTCGTCCTTTGGTTTTTAATCCTCCACCTCCACCACAGTTTCAGAGTGTATGGAGTAATCCAAACACTGAAACTTATATGCAGCCTCCAACCATGATGAATCCTATAACTCAGTATGTTCAGGTAAGAATTACCTATATTCTTCTTCCTTTATTTTTTAATGGTTTTGGATATTTTTATTGATGGGGCCACCTTAAAAATAAGCCAATCTCACATTTTACTCTCTGAAATGAGAAATGGTGGAATTTCCATAATAAGTGATATTACTCTCTGAATACTTTGAGTGATGGGAAGGAAATCTGTTACTTTTGTTAGAAATCTTTTGTTCTTAGTTTTGTTTCTTATACCAAGTTAAAATCTGCTGCTATATAGTTTGTAAACCTTTATCTTAGAACTGACCTCTGTAGCTACAAAAACATACTCATCTGTTTTTCCCTGCCATGTGGTAACTCCTAAAATATTTGAAGGCAGCTTTTCTTACATGTTTGCCTGGTTTATTCTCTAAGTTTGGCAGTTCTAGTTATTCTTTATTTGCAGTGATTTTCAGATGCCTTCTCATACAGATTCCTGGCTTCTGGATGTGTTCTGGTTCTAGAATGGGGAAAGGTTTCTAAAGACAACTGTATTTGTAAATTCTGTGAGTTTCTGGTATATAATTTGTTTGGTCCTGGTTTCTTTAATATTTGTAATGGGCTTTGGAATACTTATTGATGATGAGTAACAATGATTTTTTTCTTTATTTCTTCAGTTTAAAAAACTTTTATTTGCAGGAAAAGAGAAATAGTAGTGAAGTAGTTCTGTAGTGTCTCTCATTAGTTTACATTTTCCACCTATCTGAAATGTAGGGCATATATTTGTTCTTTTTCTGGCTCTAAACATGGTTAGAAGAAAACCCCTACTTGTTCCTAATACTTACTGTGAAGTATTATTTACTTGGTCTATTCATGTATATATTACATAGACGATTTCAATCAGTTAATATTGAAGGGTGTAAGACATTCTATTAGGGGTTTTTTTCCCCCTTCAGTTTTAGGTTAAATATGGCCTTTACCTTTTAGAAATGAAATACAGAGCCATTGAGTATGTAAGAGGACTACACATTGGCTACACATTACCCAAAAGGAATACAAAATTTCTTGAAAATGTTTTAACAAAGAAATAACAGGTGTATTAATATAACTTTAACATGGAAGTCTATTCTATTAGAACTTTATCACCAGTTAAGGAAGACACTTCTTAGTGGAGGTAAATATACAAGTAAGATAAAGATAAATGGGTAAAGTCAGTCACTTCCCTCAGTTATCTCTTCCTCCTCCCCAACCAAAAGACTTAATATTTGACAAAGAATTTTTCTTCATGAAGCCAATCACTCCAATAGAATTCTGCATTTGTGTATAGAAAAATAAGATTTCTTTGTTTTCATACTTGGGTTGTATTGAGAATAATACTTCTTTTTAATTTTTAGGAATTTTGTTTGTTAATGCAGTCTTTCTACAAACTTTATTCTCAGGCCTATCCTCCTTATCCAAGTTCACCTGTTCAGGTCATCACTGGATATCAGCTGCCTGTATATAATTATCAGGTAATTTAAGAGGGAACAACATGATTTACTTTGGAATACTATTGAGGCCTTTATTCATACATATTTCTGTAATAGTTTGTTTAGTTGAGTATGCTTAAAATAAGGTAAAAAGTTAGAATGAGTCTAGGATTAGGACCTCTAGTTATTTAGAAAACATGGAATGTATTTTAACAGGAATGTACTTAGCACAAAGTTTTGTCTTGTATTGTCTTAGAACATTTGCTGTCCTCTTCTGTATTTCAGCATACATTATTCCATCCTTGTTCTCAAATAGCTGAAATGTCCTGACTGACTTTTACAATTTCTTCTAGTGGGATTGGTCAAAATCAAATGATTACTCAATTCTTAGAGCATTGGATTCCAATTATATTTGGTAGTGTTTATTTTAGCTGACTACTACAAGGGAGTAGGTCTCTGATTTTCTACCATAGATATGGCCGTATCTGTGACCCATGACCATTATCTATGGTCATAAATTCAAAGCTATTTTTTTTTTATTTTTTTCTGAAAGCCAACAGAAAATTGAGAAAAACTTAGAGTTTATATATGAAAGTAACAAACCCTCAGGTATTAGAAACATAAAGTCCTTTTTCCTTCCATTATGTTTCTGTTACTACAAGTTCAAGGATCCAGCTTGATAAATACCTCAACATTGTCTTTCACATTCGTGAAAATTTGTAGGAATGGTTAACTAACTGTTACTGCCTCTCTCTCTCTCTCTCTCTCTCTTTCTCTCTTTCTCTCTCTCTCTTTTTTTTTTTTTAAGATGCCACCACAGTGGCCTGCTGGAGAACAAAGGAGTTATGTTATACCCCCGGTAAGGTGAATTAGCCAAACATATACTTTCTTTGATTTTTTATTATTTATTTACTTATTTATTTTTGGAGAGGGAGAGAGAGTGGAGGGGAAGAGGGAGAGAGAAATTTAAGCTCTTTCAGAGCAGACAATGGCTGCTCTGCATACAACAGGTGCTAAATTGTATATAGTCCAAGAAAAATAGTATTAATACCTATGCTAATTCTAATTCAATGAATTTAGAATTAGTATTGAAACTGTCTCTAGTTTTCTACCCATAAAAACATCTGTTGAAGAAAAGCATATATTTCACTGTTAATACTGTTATATGAGAAATAAAAGAGGCTGTTAGCTCTGAAACACTTGAGCCTTTACCTTTTTTTTTTCTTTTCTTTTTTTCCCAAGCCTTTACCTTTTATCAGTATTGGACCTTTGAATAATATAACATGAGTTAAAATTCTCAGGCACTGGTAAATTCTTATTCTATTACTACATGTTAGAATGTCTTTTTCTTAGAGTCCTTCTAATCTAATTTTGTTGAAGCTTAGAAGACTTTTCAAATAAAAGACTATCTTAGTGCTTTTCAGCTATTCAGTTTAAAGTTTCTGAAATAATACAAAAATGACAACACAACCCACATTTAAATGCTAAATATAAGCTCACTAATTTGAAGAATAAATTGTTTAGAAATGTATCTAATGTACATCTCTTTAATTATACTTTTATTGTAATTTAGGCTTATACTGCTGTTAACTACCACTGTAATGAAGTTGATCCAGGAGCTGAAGTTTTGCAAAATGAATGTTCAGTTCATGAAGCTACTCCATCCTCAGGAAATGGCCCACAAAAGGCAAACATCTAATTTTGTTTATTGATACTTATATTTTCACAATTATTTTTTGAAGTTTTAATAATGGCCCTTTGAGATGTAAGCATCTTTTTTCAAATTTAAGTATGGAAGCCAAAAATTACAGAGCTTAAGTAACTGACTAATAATTTGGCAGTTTTTATAAAAGTTGATGAAATTTCGGTACCCCCAAGCTTTCAGTGTTTACGTATAGTTTCTGATATAGTAGACCTTTTCTCTCTTATATTTTCATGGTTTTTAAAATCATACTTAAGTAACTATTAATGTAATTGGTAGAATGCAGAAGACAGGTAGGTTTCCTCAAGAATCCTCTCTTCAAGAGAGATTAGTATGAATTACACCTACCTTTTTTCCCATTTAAACATTTATTTAGCTGAATAGTAATATGTAATTATTTATTGTATTCTCTCCATAACATTATATATGGTAGCAGCTCTCAAGAGTGGTGGAGTCACTAGTTATAATTGAAATACTGAAATAGGTGGAGTTGCTTCTTTTTTAATCATTAGAACAAACTACTAGCAGTGCTCTCTTCAGTGCTCCTATGTTTTTCTTGAGTGTGGGAATGTGGAAGTAGTTGATGTGATAGGAATGTATCTAATAATATTGAAGATTTCCCATTGGATTGTGTGAAATTTGTCCTTGTGTTTCTCAATGGAAGAAGCTGTTGAGAACTACTCAACTACAGAGTAAAAAAAAAAAAAAAAAGCCTTGATTTGAGTGATAAATAGTTAAAATTATCAGGTTTTATCCTGGATGTTTTTTCTTGGAATGTTGAAGTTCACTGTTTCTTATCTATCAGGAAAAATTAAAGAGCCTTGAGCAAATATCTGAGGGTTTTACTAAATTGAGCTTTACAACTAGTACTGTTAAGATTCTAAAAAAATTTTATTTGATAAAAGTTACATATTGACATGTAATGAATTATATGAAAATGTAATATATTATAAATTACATAGTATTTTATAGATTACATAGAATTCTTCAGAAAGAAGCACATGTATTCATTCAACTTTCTTTAAAAAGCTTGTTAAAGTGAGTAAAATACTTCTCTTTTCAGAAATCTGTGGACAGAAGCATACAAACTGTGGTATCTTGTCTATTTAACCCAGAGAACAGACTGAGAAACTCTCTTGTTACTCAGGACGACTACTTCAAGGTATGACAGAATAGTATACAGGATAAAAAGCATATCTGTCAGCTATGAAGCATCTTTTTTTCTGTGGTATATATGTTTTGAGATTACAAAGAGCATTTAATTGAACTCTTGGATTAGACTGTAACTAAGAAAACCTCTGTGAGTGAGTTTTACCTGGCTATTTTATGCTGCTCAAACCTTGATATAGTGTAGTTTGTCCTTAGGGAAGATAGCAGAAGTTTATAATTGAAAAGGTTGTGAAAGAAGAGAGTTGAAAGAGAATATTGGCTTGACCAAATGGAAAAAGAGGAAATTTTAGGTACACAAAGCAGAACATACCTCAGAGATACCTCAGGTTCAGTTTCATACTGGTGCAATAGGATAAATATGCAATAAAGTAAGTCAAATGAATTTTTTTGTTTCTTGGTACATATAAAAGTTATGTTCACACTGCACTGTAGTCTATGAAGTGTGCAATAGCAGTATATCTAGAAAAAAGTATATATATATCTTAATTAAAATATACTTTATTGCTTAAAAAAATGCTGTCATCTGAGATTTCAGTGAGTCAGAATCACTGACCCTAGATAACCATAACAAATAACAATAATAATAATGTGTGAAATATTAAGAGAATTACTAAAATGTAACACAGAGACACAAAGGGAACAAATGCTGTGGGAAAAATGGTGCCAGTAGACTTTCAGTTCACTCTAATGGGGGAGGAATATTGTGCAAAAGAAAGTTTTTTTTTTTAATAACAGGTTTATTGAGATATAGTATACTACCATACAATAAACCCATTTAAAACAATTCCATTTTTTAGTGTATTCACAAAATTGTGCAATCATGACCACAATCAGTTTTAGAATATTTTAATCACCTCTTAAGCCATCAGCAGTCACTCTTTATTTCCCCCCAGTTCCTCTACCCCTAGGGAGTCATTAACCTGCTTTTTTTTTTTTTTTTTTTTTTTTCAATAAAGATTTTCCTATTCTGGACATTTCATATAAATAGAATAATGCAATATGTGACATTTTGTGACTGGCTTCCTTAGCATAATGCTTTTAAGGTTCATCATTGTTACAGTGTATATCAGTACTTCATCTCTTTTTATTTATGGATATACTACCCTTTGTGTATTTATTACTTAAGAGACAACTTGGGTTGTTTCCACTTTCTAGCTCTGATGAAAAATGTTGTGAACATTCATGGACAAGTTACTCTGTGGACCTATGCTTTTATTTCTGTTAGGTATATACCTGGGAATGAAATTGCTGACTAATAGTAACTATGTTTAACCTTTTGAGAAATTGCTAGAATTTTTCCAAAATGACACCATTTTATATTCAAAGGGAAGTTTTTAACTATTGTTTTCTGTCTTACAACAAGGAAAGGATAATAGCTTTTTTTCTGCCTATGAATGGGCATAGGATGAAACTTAAAGCCTTTTTAAAGGATATACTAAGGACTTCTTAATACAAAAGAAGAGCAGAGCCATAGCAGGATTAAGTTATCGTCATCTTCACAATAGGAAGTAAAACACATTGATTTAAAATTTTGACGTTTGTTCTCTTAGTATTTCATTATACACAGACAGTATAATTTAAAAGGAAAGAACAAGGGTTGTATGGCAGCCTACCTTTCCCAAAGTTCTGAAGGTTAAATAGGTAGTACTTAAATGATTTGTTTGCAAAAGAGAAGGTACTCTTTAAACTTGAGTTTTTACCCGGTATTAGGCAAAAACCTTACTTTGAATCTTCAGTTTTCGGTTCTTCTGCACTAGGAGTCAAAGGTTGGTAGTCTAAAATTGTCTGGTATCTAGACCTCTTTTGATTGGCTAAATGTTATTGTTGTTTTAACTGAATTTGAATGTATCAAGGCAAGGTATATACTTTTCCATGTTGTCTTTAAAATCTTCACATCCTACCTGACCTCTGAAGATAACTTGAGTTTGTGACCACTTTTCTGGGCTTTAACCTAAATAGGATATTATCCTGTTGACAGATTGCAAAATTTCCAGAAGCCACTCTTCTTTATATGACAAGTGAATTTAATCTTAGGAAAAGGGCACAGTTAAGCTCTTAGAGAAAAGAAAATACCATCTTGTTAGTACTAGTTCATTCAGCTCCATTCCTTTTTATAAGGCCTTACTTCCTAATATTTGCACATTCGCAGGCAACATAAAGTGAAAGGAAATTTTATGTATTTTTTTTATTTATCTCTTCATTTCCTGAAGAATGATATATCTTGATCACAAGTTAAGGGTATGCCTTTAAATACAGCAAAATTTTTGTTTTTTAACCTAAAAGCATAGCATTTCAGTTCGAAGTGGAGTGCTGTACTCAAGCTGTGATTTCTACCAGATGCACTCTGTTAGTAAAAACAGTACTTTTAAAAAATTACATGTTTTCCAACAGCTGTCTTTGGTGACATCACTGCCAAATCATTAATTAAGAATCTTAATAAAGTGACATTGACTCCCAAGTCCTCTGTTTCGGAGTTTACTGAGATTTCTTTTTAAATTGTTGAATAAAACTAGGTCATTGGTATATTTGTTATCTTAAAGTTCAAGAAAGCTTCCCAGAAAGGATCATTTTTCTCTGGTTATTTATAGTTTTTTTTAAACCCAGAATAAATGCTTTAAGTATTTTGCAACTATCTTAGGTCATAGTGATAATACAAAATTTCCAATGAAGTAAAAAAGGACTGTTTCTGTCTTTTCTAGGATAAAAGAGTACATCACTTTAGAAGAAGTCGAGCAGTGCTTAAATCTGTTTGATCCTCTCTGCTAACTTTCTAGTCTCGTGGAAAGTTGCTGGTTTTGAATATTAAGAAGAGACTGAAAGTTTTCACTATTATAGACGTTTAATTCTGAATTTTGATAACTCACACTCAGACTTTCTTACATAAGTTGTGGTAGATTGCCTAGTTTTATTTTACATTGAAACTGTTCATTAGATATTTATTTAGAAACTGGTTCTGTGTTCAATATATAGTTGAAAGTAAAAAATAATTGAGACTGAAAGGAATAACTTTATCTGTAAGGATTTTTTTAAATTGAAACTGACATTTTAAGAGTTTAAAAGCAATTGCTGATTTTCTGAAAATTAGAAAACCTATTTTGAAAGGTCAGAATTTTGATAGTTTGAATTCAAGCATTTCACTTCTCCAACAAGTACTTGTGAACAGTACAATATTTACAGTATTGTTCTTTACACTTTGATTTGTCTCGAAATTTACCACAAAAGCAGAGTTTTTAAAACTGTATTTTTAATCAGTGGAACTCAATATATAGTTAGCTTTATTGAAGTCTTCCTTGTCTAAACCCAGTAAAAGAGAGTCTAAACAAACAGTCCAATCAGTGGGTCTTAAGTTTATTAGTTCAAAGTACTTGTTTTTTATCTAGAATCCACACATAGATATCTTATTTGATTGGGATGCTAATTAGGATAACTAAAATTCTGGGCATAATTTTTTTAAAAATCCAAAACAAACAAAACTTTACTAGGTACATAAGCTGCTTCTCAGTGAGTTACCATTCTCCTTTTTTCTTTCATTTTTTTTCCCCTTGAAATGCTAAATTCAATGGCTGTATCTTAAATTGTGCAAAATACTGCTATTAAAGAATGCTGAAACTTTTTTTATGTCACTTAAAAGGTTAATCAGAGTATCTGAAAGGAATTGTTTTTATAAAAACATTGAAATATTAGTTATTTGTTAAAGAGCAAATAGATTTTATTTTTGCCTGTTAACCTATTATAGTTCCCTTTTTAAAGTAAAATATGTTTAAAAGAGTCAAAGTGGTTGTGTTTCAAAACCACTAAAGTTTTAAGTGTATCTCTAGAATATACTAGGACAGAGCTAACAATCATTTCTAGATTAGCTAGTCTCCTTGTTCGATGTTGTAAATTGTGACAGACAGCTAGAGCACTAGAGCCCCTTTGCTGCCCTTACAAGTCTTGATTTTCCAGTCTGTAGCACCATTCTTCCAGGAGGTTTGCTCCTTGAACAGATGATATAAAGAAGAGAAGTAGCAACTTGAACAGTTTGAGGGCTAAGCCTTGAAAAGGTGGCAACAGGACAAAACCTTTCTAAGGGAAACACTGGATCAGCATCATTTGACCTGCCATGAAAATGAGTTTAAAGTGGCTTCCTGGCCTTTCTTTCATTGGTCCCTTCACTAAAAACATGGAGACTCTATTTAGCCCTAACGTAAGGCAACTACTGTAGGCCATATCATCAGTCTTCATTGTTGTCTTATAATCCCTAATAATTTTTACTCTGAATCTGAAGGGAAGAGTCTTTTAACTTAAGGATCCCTGAGAGGGCTTTCTTATGCCTCAGAATTTGAAAGTGCCCTGAAATTTGTCCTTTAAAAAATTCTCTGTACTTTTTTTGGGGTGTGCTATAACATTCTTACATGTATCATTCTGTGATTAAATTTCAAGGTTACTCTAAATGATACCTAAATTTGAAAGAGCCAATTCTAATTATCCCAATGTGACCTTAAGAAAAGTAAGAGAATAAACTTTATTTTTCTGCTTTTTTGTTGGACTGAAGTATTTAAAAGAGTAAGGTAGAAATAAGAGACAAAAAGTCCTGAACCTTTCAAAATGGAAAATTAATTTTAAACTTATAAGTATGTTCCTATTTCCTATTACCTATTGTTGAAACTGTTTTTGCATAAATGAATAAACAGAAATAAAGAAACTTTTTTTTTCCCAAACGCATTTCAACCTACTTATTCATGTCATATCAGCTAAAGAGATAGTGGGGAGTTGGGTGGGTAGTGATGTGAAAAGGTTTAGATTCTTAAAATTCAAAAGTTGTAAATATTGTTCAATTTATTAATCTGTTGGAGTTACTTTATGAAAGCAAATTTTGATACACTGCATTTTATTGCTCTCTTATGAAATTAAGAGATAGGTTTTTGTGAGAAAATAATCCCTCATAGGTTAAGTTGGAAATGGTTAATGGGTTCCAGTGCCATGAATTAACAGAGCGGTGCCTAGTGAGAATGCTGGTAAGTCACATGTAACTATAGTTTCATGACCAAGGTCCCTCTCATTTTGGACTCTCTATGTGAATATTTTGTGTACTGCATACTTCGGACCTCACCTCTGTGACCCTTATTTGGAAGTATTGTAGTTGTCTATGATAGAGCTTAAATTTTTCATATTATATGTACTTCATATGAGGATGTATCCAAAAGATCATTACTCAAGCTCCAGTACTCAAGAGTTCTATAAACTAAGGCCAGAAGAGAGGAAATTCTCCCCTTTGGACACTCTTATGCTACCTTTCATAACTGACTCATTACTATAAAAATAGATACTAAGTTTTTCTAAGAAAAAAAGAGTGCTTTCTGAATCACCAAAAATTAAGTTTTGATATTTAAAGTATAATTTGTTGAAGATTAGTAATCCTGAAATGTACATGTGTATGTATGTATACACACATACATATATACTGACCGTTTTTCAGAATATTTGATTAGCCCTGACTAAGCTAAATAAAAATGTATAACATTTTGAGACCGTAAAGCTAGACTACATATGTCTTAAAAGAGTTGTTCTAAACCTGCTTGAAGGGGCACCTGGGAGGCTCAGTGGGTTAAAGCCTCTGCCTTCAGCTCATGATCTGAGGGTCCTGGGATGGAGCCTCGCATCAGGATCTCTGCTCAGCAGGGCGCCTGCTTCCCCCTCTCTCTCTGCCTGCCTCTCTGCCTGCTTGTGATTTGTCAAATAAATAAATAAAATATTTTTTTAAATGTCCTCAAACGTATTTTCAGGGCACCTGGGTGGCTCAGTGGGTTAAGCCTCTGCCTTAGGCTCAGGGCATGATCTCAGGGTCCTGGGATCAAGCACCGCATTGGGCTCTCTGCTCAGCAGGGAGCCTGCTTGCTCCTCTCTCTCTCTCTGCCTGCCTCTGCCTACTTGTGATCTCTCTCTGTGTCAAATAAATAAAATCTTAAAAAAAAATCTGCTTGATATTTATTTTTTTTTTTACAATTTTGTTTATTTATTTGATAGAGTAGGCAGAGAGGCAGGCAGAGAGAGAGAGGGGGAAGCAGGCTCTCTGCTGAGCAGATAGCCTGATGCAGGGCTGGATACCGGGACCCTGAGATCATGACCTGAGCTGAAGGCAGAGGCTTAACCCACTGAGCCACCCAGGTGCCCTGAAACCTGCTTGATATTTTAAACATGTTTGCAAGTTGAGGATTACCTCAAAATTCTCAACACAAAACCAAGTCTTTGGGATTGAAAAAGAAATTTCATATAGCAGCTTTTTTTGGTAAAATGTTGCAAATTATGACAAAAATTAAGTGATGTCAAAAAGGTTGGTCAGCCCTGTAAGAAATACATTGTGTGCTTTTTCCCTCTTAAGAACATGTAACCTTTGTGTGGTTTAAAATAACTAATACTGATTACTCTATTTTAACTGCAAGGTATTTGTTGACTTTCAAAAATAAATACTGCACAGCAGTTCCTTGTATTCGTAAAGGTCTCTATCCACTTTCCTAAAATTCTCTTGGTTGTCTTTAAAGGTAAACTCATAGAAACGGGCCGCCACATTGCTTAATCGTCTTGCCTGCTTTCATGACTGTTGTTTGAGGGTAATAAGGAGCAGCAGTGATAAGGCAGCGTGCCACTCTGCTTTTGCAAAGATGGCAATAGAGAGGGTGGGGGACAATAAGGGGGAGGAAAGCGGCAGTATTTTCCATTGACCAAGTCTTGCAAATAGGCCCAGCTGTTGAGTAGGATCATTTGGAATCCCTGAAACACTTCCAGATGAGGATTGCTCCTGTACATACATTGATAACTGTATAATCTAGCTCTTCCCGACATTACATGTAATATGTCTCTCTGTGTGTAACTGAATCTTCTTGAGCAATTCCTCACCACCCATCATCAAAGACTCTGAGTTTTCCATCTGTAGACAGTACATTTGGTAGTAGAAAACAATAAACATAAGAAGTTTAAACTATAAACATGCGTTTTTGAATGCTCATGCAAAATATTCAATCTGTAGCAAAGAAATGATAGGTAATTCTGCTTTGCATTTAGAGTTAAAAACATCTGTCTAATATGGCTGTAGCTGTGGGCCAATCCCAAGGAAATGCAAAAAATTGTCTCTTGATACAGAAGTTGAAACTAGCACTGTACAATTAAGCTCTACGGTAGCTATATTTCATGTTTTAAACTGGTCTGAAACTGAAACTTTCCCACTTAGTCTCTAGTTCATTTCCCCAAGGCACATGGAGGCTTTGTATCTTATGTGTACCTCCATTAAGGCTGCATGCCAGGAATATGCCTTTTCCCACATAAAATTCCCAGATACCAGTTCAGTAGGTCTTTAACAATAGAACAAATGCTTGCATAGCTGGGATATTGGGGTCATGAAAGCTCCTTATAAATTTGAAGCAATAATAACATTTCACGCAGTTCAGAAAGTTGGAGGTTTTATAATCCTTAATCAGTACTTTTTTACAGAAAACAGATCTAGCAAAAGTACATGAAGGTTCTAATCTCATCTATTGTCTTTCCCCAGAATAAAATGAATAGAAACATACTCTGTTCTGGCTCAATCTTGGGTGGAACTATTTATTGTAGAAGAAAGGCAGGTCAAGTCAACTGATCTTTACTGGTATAGCCAGATCAACTGTTTACAGTTGGGCTGGTCCCCTCTGCCCTTGCACACTTGTTAAAAATGTTTAATATTATCAATTTACCACCATCCCCCCCCCCAGAATAAATGGCTAGACTAGTAGGAATGGAG